GCTCTAGACTAAGGGTCAGCTGCTCAGACAGTATGTGTATGTGATTGCGCCACAATAAAAAATGTGGACACCAAAGACTCATAGGAGTTGTTTAATTACAATACTCTTGAGTGTCATCACACATAATTGGGAGGAGGTAATACAGTCCAGAAATCCTGGTGTGGTGCTGTGTGAAACCTGGTGGGACTGCTAATGACAAAGTCAGAGGTTGAAACCCACCAGCTCCTTGGAAATCCTATACAGGGTCACTATGAGTCAGAAGTGATTCAATGTACTTAACAACAATTCAGTTCATGACTCCAAAGGCAAAAGACAACTGGAAGTTTTTCGTTCACAACCTTCCCAAACTTGGCCCTATATATTTCTTTGGCTGATTCTAATTTGTAATATTTCCTTCACTGTAATAAAACTCTACGTATAGAGCTTTCCTGAGTTTTGTGAGTGATTCTAGCTAATTATCAGGCCTGAGGGTGAACAAGAATTTCTAGCCAGCTTGCTGAAGTGAGCGTGGTCCTAGGGAACCCCATACTAGTGGCGGCTGTCTAGCGTAAGGAGTTTGGTGGTAATTTTCCCTCTGACTTTCCAGTATGGCTACCTCAGAGATTTATCTTTAACAAAATCTTCATTAGTCTTGAAAGATAATTGATACAGGGTAACTAAATTTAAAGGAGCTCTGGTTGCACAGTGGTTAAGTCCTTGGCTGCTAACCAAAAAGTCAGGGGTTCAAACCCAGCAGCCACTCCATGGTAGAAAGATGTGGCATTCTGCCTACAGCCTTTGGAGGTGCTTTGGGGGCAGTTCTAATCTGTCTTATAGGGTTCCTCCTATGAGTCAGAATCAAGGCCACAGCAATAGGCTTAGAGTTTGGCTTAAATAAACTTAGATGCCAAGTTACTGATTTAAGTAAAATCTTATATATTCAATAGAAGTGCTAGTTTACCAAGTTTTAGGAATAAAAGTCAAGAAAAACAAGATTACAATTAAATTACTACATTTTCTTCCCCGTCAGCTCCTCTTTGAGCCAAAGGTAGAAAACAGAAGAAACTTGAATGTGAGAAAAACAGGAAAAAAAATGTGTGATTTCAAATTTAAAGGTAATTTTTAAAGTCTGAAAGTGTGCGCTTTAAAATTCCCAGTGTTTGGTTCAGACAAAGCAAAACTTTCAAATAGTTAAGCTACAATGAAGTGAAATTCAACTACTGCTACTAACTCCAAGCATGTCTGATTTCACAACTAAATAAATGACACAACATCAAATCAGGACTAAAAATGAGTTCTGGTTCTGAGGGTCATACGGTTTATGGTTACATCAGGCATGACAGGAACCCACAGTGGCATTAGCAAAATCCTGTTTGCTTGGATTTCTAATGCTTACCTTCGAGGGCTCCGGCTCTTTAAAAGTAGTGAACCTGCTATGGTTTGAGTTAATTGGGCTAGGTCACCTCTCACCCATGAAATTGCTTTGAATACTATGAATAAAAAAGGCATCCCTTAAAACATTTATGGAGTATAAAAGATAACATAAATACACAATTACCAATATCATTATAGTTATTTAGATCATTTATTTTTAAATCAGTGCCTTTAAATATGACTTTCATCATCCACTATGCATTACCATTCATTCACCCATTCATTTGTTCAGTCAGGTAACAAATACATATACAGCCATTGAACATAGCAGTAGTGATGGGAAAGCAATCATTGGGGTGAAGATGAATACCAGGAGGTGACGAAAGGTAAGATTGCAACTCTAATACAGGAGGGATGAAGAAAATAACAGACATAGGGGACAGGAAGAGAAGAAAACCTTCTCTCCAAATATGTACAACATGCTTCACTGAGGGAAGTTGGCGACCAAGAGTTGAATCTATCAATATAATAGATGTATACCTTCGGCTGGACGGTCATAGGTTACTTCTTTATTATTAATATAAAGCAATTTATGGTCCTTTTCCATGTACAAAGTATCTAATATCCATTATCACGTTTAATCCTCCCAGTAGCAGTGTGTTCCCATTTTACAGATGAAAATACTGAGGCCTGAGGGAGCGTGTCATACAACCAGTAGGAAGGCAACAGAGGCAAGACTCAAAGCCAGATCTTCTTCCTCTAATTCAGGTACTTTTTGCACAATCCTATCACAGTCAAGTCAGATTTATCACAGAATGTCAAAATTGGAAGGGAGCTTAGCAATCATGTTTAGTCCTCTCATTTCTAAGAACTGGAAACGGGCCCTGATTTGATCCAGCTAGTATTTATTAAACAGAGGTAAGACCACACCCTGGTATACTGACAGCTCCCAATCTTTCCACTCTATTACCATGCCTCAAAATGACAAGAAACACAACTATTCTGCTTAGGGATCAGCACTAGCTAGAACAGCAGAACAGCTACTGTCTTTGAAATGAGTAATCTGCTTTGGAGAAATGAAAATAAGCACCTTTCCAAATCAAGATGGCTAGAATAATCCACTCAGAATCGTTGACCAACATACGCACGTTATATGCCTATTATGTCAAATCAAGAACTTTCTTCAGAGAAAAAACAAGTTACTGTATATGCAGATATTACATGAGTGTGGTTCTTACTGGACTATATTTATTATTCTCTTATATGGTTACATAAACAGATTTAATCTAACCAACATCTGCTGAGAGCCAATGAAGTAGTAGTTCCTGCTCTAGACATTCATTCATCCATTCGCCCATTCATTCATTCATTCATTCATAAGACTAAAATAACTTGAGGCTTAGTGATACTGCCAAGCACTCAAGGCTCTGTTCTCTCCACGTGGAGTGAACTGCTGCCAGACAAATGTAGCAATTTGTCTCCATAGACCTGTTAGGCAGGAAATCAAGTCCTGTCCAGCAAGGGTGCAATCTATAGCACCAGTCCAACTCTGAGGAAGGAGAAGTTACACTCCAAATGCTGTTTTGTGGAGTGGGAGTTATAGGGACGAGAGCCACAAGTAGGTGCGTAATAAAATACTTCCTGAGTGACTAAATGAACTTGAACTTTCCTGACCCTTAGAAATGATCCTATGGAATTCCAGGGAGAAAATTAGCTCACTTCTGAACTTTGCTTCTGCCATTTGTAGAATTCCACCAGCAGATGTCAACATAGAGGGGAGCCAAGAGAGCTTTGAAGTTCAATAGTCAGCAAGATTCCAAACTTTCTGTCAATCCACAAACCCATGAGGAAAAAGAAATCATCTGAGAGGTGCTAGAGGATTATAAATATAAGTAGGGATCTACTCTGTGCATTTGGGGGTAACATGCCTTTCACTCGTCCTTATAGGACAAGGAAAAACCCCGAGCACTGCCACTGAGAGCTCAGGCATTTCGGGACACATGCCTCAGAGCAACTTCTACTTCAAGAAACAATCCCCAAAGTGACCTTACTGAATCCAGTATAAGAGTTGCAACTTTGTTCTTTCAAAGTGTGGCTGGGCCACCAATTTGCAGCAACCCCAGATTCTCCAGGGTTTCCTGCCTGAGCAAAAGATACATCTGGCTTCACCTCCCCTGTCATCTTATATTTGCTGATCTACTTACATATACCTTCTACCTGGGCTCCTACAGGCAGAGCCAAGTCTTCTGTCTGAACACAGGGAATGTCAAAAGTCTAAAAATACTAACACCAGAAGGTATCCTCATCCTACCAGCTCTGTTATGCATCCCTGGAGGAGCTGCTTTCCTCCTTTCTTTCAGTCCTACGGCAATACTGCCCTCTAAAGTGCATTCCAAGTGGTTCTGTCATCTCTCTTCAAAACCCAGTATCAGTGTCATTCCTGACACAGAAGGGGCAGACAGACAGCTCCTGGCTGCTGGCCTTCCTGAAATGGTTCCCAATTTCTTTTAAAAACTTCTTGTCCTAAACTCTGTATGTGCTGGTCAATGCGTGTTGCAGACATTTCCGATTACAAGTACACTACTCCATGAAGTGCAGTTCACAGCAGGTGTCTGGAGAAGTCCTATTTCGCCTGAATATGACCATTCACATGCTTGCTAGGGCTACAGAGTGTATATGTCCCCAACCCACTCCTCACTTTTGATAAAGGGACACCTTGCTTCCTTTACCCCTGGTGTTTTAACAACTTCATGGCACTGCTTCTAATATAATGCCCCTGTCTAAATCCATGCCCCAGTCCTCCCTACACATACACACACACACACTTATTAATGAAACAGATACCTGTGGGGCCCAAAGTACTCCTTCACAGTCAAAGGAGGCCCCTGAATAAATATTGCTCAAAATAAAAGGATATTTTTATGACTTTTGTACCCAAGAGATTAATGGGTTTGGGCGATTTTACCTGGAAACACTAAATCTATGAGGAGGCTTCAAAAGGTTACCAGGAAAACTCCCATTATCTTTTAATTCCATTTTTCCACAAACTTTTTGAAGCCCCGACCCCCATACTTTCCAGAATTCTGATTCAATCAATACATCTGTGTATTGCATTAGCTTGAGTTTTTCAAGACAAACTGCAGACATATCTTTTCATATATACACATATATTTAAAAGTTTCCTTCTTAACTTTTAAAGAATTTCCTTTCTCTAGATCCTATAATCCTGTTACCACCCAGGTTAAGGAGTCATTTTGTATAAAAGAACAAACATTTTACTCTCACACAACTCCTCTACAACAAAAGAATCCACGCAAGCTCTGGGGTCCTGGCCAGACCAGGCAGGCAGAAAGCCAGAATAGAAAGGAAAATTACAATAACAACAACAACAAGACTGAGTAGCCCCTCAGACACAAACTATGTGGAGGGACGAGGAGTGGGAGGCTGTGTGGGAGGGGCAGGTCCTGGCTTGGTTCCTTTATTCTTGGACGGCTGTCAGTACAGGTATCTGAAAGAACATCTATTCAGATTGTAAGAGACAGGTTCCCGCCTCTCTGGAGACACATGGCTGCTACTATCAGAGATAGGGAGTGAAGACGCATAGGTAGTCAGCTGGTTTAGGGCTAAGTGTTACCTATAAAGCTCAAGATAACAAAAAGCCTCTTTGATTTGTAAACTTGCACTCATAAATGCAACCCCACGTTACAGAATTCAGTGCATATTTCAACAGTAATACACACTATGCTTCCCTTCGGAATCAGTGCAGTTAAATAGAAATGTCTAAGTAGGCATTTTCCAAAGCAACACTATAGTTGGGAACAGGTATCCTAAGTCAAGTTAGTAATACGGCTGTAAGGAGCATACAGGTTAGGATTTGACGAGGCTCTTACTGAGGATTGCATCATAGTAGGGACTGAAGACCATCTTGTTATAATTGACCAGGCGAACAAATTTAATAGCGACTTCCTCCAGCTCTTTCTGAACCAGGCCCAATCCACCAGGTACTGTGGGAAATGGCTTCTGATGACCTGAGGCAAGGTAGGTTTCTAAGAAGGTCAGGATTCGAGAATCTGTGATGGAAAAGAAAGTGGGTGGTTGTTTTCCATTCAGGGAACATTTACAAGCTCTGATTAAGCTTCTATCCTTAACTTAAACATGATTTAAGCTTCCATCCTTAGTTTAAACATCGTCTCTTCAGGGAAGTCTTCCCTGACCAGTCCTCAGACCAGGGACCTGTAGCACCTGCACTTTTTAATGTCAGTTCCATTTGTAATGCTTTGTCATGAGCGTGTGGAATCCCTGCCTATCTTGCTCACCATGAGCTTACAGCACAGCACCTAGCAAGAGGCGTGGCCATTGTTGAAGACCACATTAAAAGAGAGGGAGGAAAAATGAAGTAGACATTACCAATTCAAAAAAAGAAACAAGAATAATGCAAATTCTAGCACTGTTGGTTTGTGTCGACCTTTTCCCACTAAGCCTACAGGAACTTTCTGCTTTAATGCTTATAATAAAGACCACAGAGATGGTGGGCGTTTATGAAATTGTCCAATTCTGAGAGGTCTTTTAGGCTGACCCTTTTTTGAGCCCATTCCCCTTTACAATGCTTTTGTACTCTTCTGCAAAATCAGCCAAAAAAAGATCCAATTAAGCCATTACTTCTCACAGATTTTACTAAAAAAACTATCGTGTTGCTAGTTGCCGTAGAATCAATTCCGACTTACAGTGACCCTCACGTTTGCAGGTCAGAATTTCTCCATAAGGATTTCAAAACTGAGACCTTTCTAAAGCAGACTTTTCTGGGGTGCCTCTGGAGCGGGGGGGGGCGGGTTGGATCACCAGCCTTTGCTAGTAGCCAAGAGCTTAATCTGCATTCCTCAAGGATTTACAAAATAATTTTTGTTGTTAAGTCTGAGTTTCTGAGGAGCAACTAGTGGGTGTGAATCGCCTACCTTGTGGTGTGGTGCTATGGGTTAATGCACTGGACTGCAAAGTCGGTTTAAACTGCAAAGTCGGTTTGAACTACAAGGTCGGCGGTTCAAGCTCACCAGGTGCTCCTAGGAAACCCTATATAGGGTCGCTATGGTTTGGAACCAACTCAACATCACTTAACAACAACAATAACAAATTTTGTGGTAAGCAGTTCAGTGCTTATCCTATAGCACCATGCCAGGACAAAAACAATAGGTACATTTATCCTGAATGAGCCCTGCCCTCCACCCCTGCAGAGATTCGAACAGCATTGCTGGCGAGCAGAGTACCTGGTCAGGCTGAGGCCTATGACTTCATCAAATGCAGTGATAAATCACTCTCTCCACACTCACCAGCATTCACATGCCCAGCTAGAGCCTTCCCAGGTTCCTTTGGAAGGCCTTGTTTTCCTGCACATCTGAGGGGGCAGCCCTTCTGTCTGCCTCCCCGCGAAACGTACCCATGATCCTGCGAATGGGGTTGTCGGAACTGGCCACCGCCTGGATCTGGCCCATGAGCACCGTCTCCTTGTCTGTGGTGAAGGGGGTGAAGCCACACAGGGCGAGGCAGCTGCTCACCTCCACACAGACTTTCTCCCCAATGGCTGTCAGGGCGTCCTTCAGATGGAAGGAGCTTGAGCAGGAAAGGGAAAGGAGAAGTCAGAGGGAAAAAGGCCTGTGAATCAAGGGCACACAGAACCAGCTCAAACATCCTCTGCCCTGACCAAGAGTTACAATGGGCAGCAACGGAGTCATGCCGTCAAGGAGAGATTTGTACCTCCCCTGCCCCATCTCCCAGGCTCTGCACGACTGACCGAGATGACCTTTTACCCATTTTGCAAGAAAAGGTCAGTGAAAAGGAGGGCTCAGGTGAACCTGGACAAAAAGCTGACTGATTGCTAACACCTGTGTGCTGAAGTAGGCCTGGATTTGACTTAAGAACATCTTCAAATACCTCTGGAGCAACACACAAGAAACCAGGAATTGGGCAGCTATAGGACAGAAGTGGGAGAGAGAATTTCCATTGGATACTTTGTTGTACCTTTTGATATTAGAAAATGTGCAAGTGTATTAACCATTTTAAATAGGTTAAAAACATTAGCACCTGATTCCCTAGGCCCTAGGCTCTGCTGAGCACTGTGGGGAACCCAGATGCCTCCTGGTGCCGGCACCATCAAGCTTGTGGCTCTTCTGCAGGAAGGTAATTGCCTCTGTTGGACAGATTTGGACAGTATCATCAAGCTTGAATTCTGGGTCAGCCTCCTAACTACAGGGTGCATTTTGGAGGGCAGAGCCAGGCTCCTGGGGAAGTAGCATACTGGGCTGCCCTCACTGTGCCTTCACCAGAGCAGCTCTACAGGGGAAGGAGCCCGGTGAAGCCTTCAGGTGATGCCTCAGCTCAGCAAGCAGTCTCCCGGCTTAAATCGCAACTGCTGTATCCTTATTCCCGACTCATGGACATGCACCTCACTGTACTGGACACGTATCGTAGGTGCTAACTCCACAGTGAAATCCCTCCATAGTGCAAGATGCAATTGTCACTCCACTGCAGGTCATTTCTGTTGAAGACGCCTCTGAATTAGAACATGTCACATACAACGTTTAATTTGAATTATTCAAAATATTCTATAAATCACTGAAATCACCTGACATGACTCGACTGCAGCGACGGTGAGCACAGCCTGCACTTGTGCAAATGTTAGTGCTGATGTAAAAAACAGCATCTCTGTACTCAGCACAAGGTATCTATGTGAGCCTGGCATGGTAGTGAAATCAAATCAGTGGGTACCAACCAGTATTTTTTTTTATATGGAACTGAACAAAATGGAAGACATTAGAATGCACTAAGCACTGTTAGAGCCAACCTCATGTTGTGAGGTTTGCTCCTTTAAGGACATATATGGGTGCAAATGCATTTGAGCCCACCGTTGTGAAACATCTCTTACTATGGGTCCTCATTACAAACATTTTGAAGTCCCAAGATCAGAAGAGCCTTGCTAACCTGGGTGCTGATTCCAACTTCGACCCTCTGATGAATCAATTCTGCTGTGGTCTTCACCAAGTGAACACACACATTTGAGAGTAAGGTTCCCCGTAGGTTCCTAGTGAATGGCCCCCTGATTCTGCCTTAAACTGGGAGACCCCATTCCAGTCTGCTCTTAGCCCCACTTGCTGCCCCTCTCCCCACACCCACTGTTAAGCCCTCTCCACAGCTGGGTCACTTACGGCAGATGCATATCTATCAGCAGAATCTTGACCAGCATCTTGAGTTTCTCAGCAAAGTCGGCCTGACTGAAAATTCCTGGGCCTGTCATGCTGAACGTGACCAGCAACACAGCCCCCAGTACAGTAAGCTGCTCCAACTGGAGCTGGAGCTCTTGGAAGCGAGACTGGTCCATCAAAACTGTCTGTAATGAATCCAAGAAAACAGTCAGCACTGAGCTGTAGATGTGGGCTAGCCAGCAGGCGGCAGTGAGTCCTTAGAATTTTCTACAGTCATTTCCGAGCAGTAGGAGAGTTGTGTATGAACTATTCTTCCATCTCAGAGTCCCCTCCCCCTTAAAAAAAGGTACACTGGCAAACAGTCTAAGACAGACTTGGGGTAAATCTAGGCTCCATCATGTAATAGCAGCATTGCCTCATGCAAGTGTTTTCAACCCTGAACCCTCTGCTAAACAAGGGTCCCTACATCAAATGGCTACTTTAAAGATGAGGAAAGATCATGTGTATAAAGTAACCAGCAGAGTCAAACTTTCAATACATAGGAGTTACGTCATCAGGAGTCCCTGGGTGGTACAGTTAAGTGCACGATTACTGACCCAAAGTTAATGGTTCAAACCCACCCAGAGGCACCTAGCAAGATAGTCCTGGTGATCTGCTCCTGAAAGGCTATGGCTTTGAAAGTCCTATGGAGCACAGTTCCACTCTCACACTCTCTGTGTGCCAGAATGGACTCAGCAGTACCTGAAGAGTAACGCTAAGGTGATTACACTTCCCGCTTTGTCTGTCCCAACTGCAAGTTTTGAGTCCTGAGAACCTGCTTAGACTCAGGTAAACTAGAGAACATTTGAGGGAAGAAGGGAAAACATTTCTTAAGAGTAGACTATTCTTATTTACTTGGATATCCCCTCAGGACTCAGCACAGAGGAAGCTCTTAAGAACTGGCAAGTGAATAAAGGAAGAGAAAAAATAAACAGTAAGTATAAAAAGTAGGAATGATAGATAACAGCTGACAAATAACCAAAGGCTCCTCTGGAAAGCAGCCAATGAGCGTCTCCAGGATGCCCTCCCCCCTCCCCCACCGCCATGGTGCTAATCACCCCACGCAGACACCTCAGGTTCTACCATGAAAGTGGCAGAAAGAGGAAATCTGGCATCTGATGTAAGGTTTGACAAGTTAATCATGATTCTAAGGCCCTACTTGCTGTCAGAAACAGATAAATAAATAAGACATTAGCAATTTGGGGTCTTAGCCCAGAGTTCTTCTGAGGAAGTTAAAAACTATCTCTGAAGATTGAGCATTCTTGGTGGCACTGTGGGTTAGGTGTTAGGCTACTAATCACAAGGTATATGTTTCAAATCCACCAGCTGCACCCTGGGATAAAGAAGAGACTGCCTGTTTCCATAAAGCTTTCCAGTCTTGGAAATCATACGGTTGCTATGAGTTGGAACTGACTTGACAGCAGTAGGTTTGGTTTCTGATTGTTGACAAGTCTGTTGAAACACACAAGAAGGCTTCAGACAGTTCATGGAAAAATGGAATTAAAACATAATAGAATTTTTCCACAAACTTTTTGAAGCCCTGTGTATGTATCTTTTTATTAGCCACTCTTTCTTTTAACTTCACTACAAGGCAGGAGTCTTAGTGGTGCAGCTGATTAAACACTGGGCTACTAATTACAAGGTTGGTGGTTCAAATGCACCAGATACTCTGCAGGAGGAAGAGGAGGCATTCTATTCCCATAGAGATTTAGTCTCCAAAACCCTATGGGGTAGCTCTACGCTGCCCTCTCAGACTGCTGGGAGTCAGCAATGCAGTGGGCTTGGCTTGGTTGCACTATGGGAGAGTTATGTTTGACTTCTTGCATTCTAACCTCTCAAAAGCCACACTTTAGTTTAGGGTACAAAAGATGCCCCAGGATCCACTCTCAGAGGATGAGAAGACATCTGTTCCCAATAAAACATCATTTTCCCCACTGCTGAGTTTTGTTTGTGTATTTTAAAAGTAACTTCATCCTGAGAATTGCCCTTCAGGTGAGAAAGGAGCAGGAATCCTCCTTCCTAACACCGTCTTTTCATCTTCAGTCTTACTCCTGCACAAAGCAGAGAACTCCCAGGCAAGAAGGGAAACTTCCTGAGAGTAGAATTAAGGAAACGTAAATGAGACTGTTGTTTGGAGAAGTAAGTAGCAGATCTGAGGCTCAAGAAGCCAATGTGCCCTCAAAGGGGGGTGGGGTGCTTCTACACACTAAGACAGTCTATTTATAGATCAAATGGGAATCCCTTGGTCATCATCCCCTTAAAGGAATATTAGTTATCCAAGGGATGACCAGGGAAAAGTACAAAAAAGGAAAGACTATTACTCAATATGAAAAGGGAGAGAAGTTCCATTAGATAACACTGGAAAAGTAGCATGACTGTTGCAATTGTGGTTTTTAAGCAAGATGAAAGAAACAGGATGAAAATTCAACACCACCACCAACCAGACTCACAAATGGCTGGTAGGATCACAATGACACAGCTGCTTTGGAAAACAGTTCTTCAGAATGCTATACACAGAGTCACCAGATGACTCTGCAATTCCACTGCCAGGCATACACCAAGAGAACTGGAACCCCTGTCACAAAAACTTGCCTAATAATGTTCATAGCAGCATTATTTATAACAGCCAAAAAGTAGAAAAAATCCAAGTGTCCATGAATGGATAACCAAAATGCGGCATATATCCACACAATGGACTATTTTCCAGCTATACAAAGGGAATTGCTGTTGTTGTTGTTTAGAGCCGTCCAGTCGTTTCCAACTCACAGCGGCCCTGTATACGGTTTCTGAGGTTTTAGTGATCTTTGCGGGAGCAGAAAACCTCATTTTTCTCCCACAGAGCAGCTGGCAGGTTCGAACCACAGACTTTGTGGTTTGCAGTCCAGTGCTCATTGGATGGAGCCACTGCGCTCCCATAAAAAGGGAATGAAGCACTAATAGTGCTATCATGTAGGAGCACTGGGGGCACTCAGCTGCTAAATGAACCGTGAACAGTTCACACCCACCAGCGGCTTCCTGGGAGAAAGATGCAGCAGTCTGCTTCTGTATAGTTTACAGCCTTGGAAACCTCAAGGTTCTACTCTGTCCTACAGAGATGCTGAGTTGGAATCGACTTGATGGCATCTGGTTTTTATAATGCTGTAATATGGATGAACCTTGGAAGCCTGAAAAAACCAAACACAAAAGAGCACGAATCGAATGGATAAACTAACTGTGGTACATACACACAATGGAATATTATGCTACCTTGAAGAACAACAAGGAAACTGCAAGCCACCGCATAACATGGATGAACCTTGAGGACATTATGCTGAGTGAAATTAGACACAAAAGGAGAAATATTGCATAGGACCATTATTGTAAAAGACTAAGAAAAAGAACCCACACTAAAAGGGGGAAAAAAACTATATAATTGCTGATCACTGGGATGTATGGGATGAGAGGATGAGAGGGAGGGAGGCGAAGATAGAGCACAGGGTAAGGAATAAACACAGGAAAACTTGGGTGCTGGGGGGGGGGAGAACACAGGCAATACACAAGAAGGGGGAGGGGAATGGAAGAACAAGGGAGATGGGAGAACAGTTAGGCAGGTTCACATGGACTAAGTGAGACAGAGGTAAATGATGATGTATGCACAACCTTGGAACAACAGGGTTTTGGGATACAGGGATTGAGGCATGGTAAAAGAGGGGAATAATATTAAGACGCCTGGCTGTGTTTTGAATCTTGGTTTCCCTTGCCTACCATTGTGAAATAGACACTTGGGGCAGGGGAATGGTGGAATAGCCAGAAAGAACACAACAGAAAGCTTGTAAGTTCGTCTTCAGCCTATAACTGATTAGAATACCTTAAAGGGGGCTAGAAATTGCCCAGTGAAAGAGACCTCCTGTGGAGCTTGTGCATTGCATAAAACCATAGGTGGAAACCTGAATCCCATCCAGAATTGTCTGAGGTGGGAAATTTCCACTGGAAAGGACAAGTAGACCAGCCTGGAGCAGCTAGAAGAACAGAAGATACTTAGTGAAAGAAAGACCAGCAGGAAAAACCAGAAACAATACTGGCAGTATGATTGATTACTACAAGAACAAGTAAGCTGTTTGCCCAGGAGTCATCAAGGCAAGTGGTCGGGTTGCCTCAGAGCAAACTCCCTTCCAAGGCTAAGACTCAAGGGGAATGAATACATGAGCAGGCATGCGGTCTGGCTGATGACAGCAATGAAGTTGGGATCTAAGTCCGACCACATTCAATAGACTCTTGGATGGAGAGCAGATATGGCATGACCCGGGGACTCCTGGGCCCAGAGGCAGTGATACGGCCACAGAGGACTAGAGTGGAGAGTGAAGCATCCTGCTGATATGAAGTGAGGGGAGATGCACAAGAACACCCATACTAGCAGATAGTACCCACTTGACCTGGCTTTAATGGCTGGATGATCAGAACTCAACTAGAAGAAAGAAGAGGGAAGAAAAAAAAAAGAGTAACCCACTAAAATTTGATGAACTTTACCTATATTTACGGATGTAGTAGCTCAAAAAAGAGAACAAATCTTTACAGCAAGGATCATTCCCACCCCCTCGGTACACAGGGTTGACAGGGATGGGCAACTTAGCGCTGTGGGTTAATGTGCCAGACTGCAAAGCTGTTTGAACTGCAAGGTTGGCGGTTCAAGCTCACCAGCTGCTCCTTGGAAACCCTATACAGGGTCGCTATGGGTCGAAATCGACTAGAGGTTATAGTCTGGACTCATGGAAAGAGAGGGACAGGGTGCTGGCAGGCAGGAGGCAGGCTTGCAGAATGTGCCCTTTGGTTGTTTAAATTATTATATATTCCTGAGTGTTTCTGTGTACATCCTCTACCTCCACCCCCCAAAAATAAATAAAACAGAGGGAATAGATACAAACAACACAAAACAAAACAAAAAAAGTAGGTTAGTGGTTGCCAGGGGTTGGGAGGTGGAGAGTGGGGAGTGGCTATTGATGGATACGGGGTTTCTTTAGGGAGTAATGAAAACGTCTGAAATTAATAGTGGTGATAGTTGCATAAAGCAACTGAAGTGTACACTTTCAAAGGGTATATTTTACAATATGTGGATTATATCTTAACAAAGGGTAAACTTTATGATATGTAACATGTATCTTAATAAAGCTGTTATTTTGGAGTCCTGGTCTGGCGCTGTAAGATAAGCACAGTACTATTAACCGAAAGGCTGCTGGTTCAAATCCACCAGCAACTCCTCGTAAACTCTATACAGGGTCGCTATGAGTTGGAACTGACTCAATGGCACTTAACAACAACAAAGCTGCAATTTTATAAAGCTTATCAACACAAAAGAATATGAGTAGTCAGAATCCTCAGGAGTACTTACTTCAGGGAAAGGTCTCTGGAGGTGGTCCCATTTCAGAAGCTTCAGGTATGCATAATTCTGGACAGCAATACGACTTGGCATGACAGTGTTCTGAGAGCCAGCAGCCCCATCCTCAGCTGGCAGGGAATTTTTATACTTCTGATTCATAAGGTCAGCTGATGCTTCTTCTAGCCACTGGGTGACAAAGTCCAAGGAATCTGTGAAAGTTAAGTCTGCAACATTACTATGACACTGAGGAGGTATGTCTCTCACAATTACTTAAGGAATATCATTCTGGCAGTGTGGTAAAGCATAAATGTGGACTTGAATCAAACAAAATTAGCCAAGTGATCTTAGGCACATCTTACTCCCTCTGAATCTCAGGTTCCTAAAATAAGGACATTTACAAACACAGGCTACAGTGAAGATGAACAAGATAACAAATACAAAGCCTCTATCCAGGGCTTGCCACATAGCAGATGGTCAACACACGCTGGGGCTCCTCTCTTCCATCCTGAGGATGTGATGCTGCTAGTCTGTGAAATGGCAAAAACTCTTGCCGGGAGACAGATGGAATATTTCCCTTTGCAGAGAATCCACTGCACTGAAATGGGGGCTTTTTCCATGTCTAGATCCTAATCTGGATTCCTGGTGTGGTGCTATAGGATCAACACTGGACTGCGAACCACAAGATCAGCAGTTCAAACCCACCAGCTGATCTTTGGAAACTCTATACAGGGTCGATATGAGTCAGAACCGACACAATGGCATTTCCAATAACAACAACAAATCCTAATCTAGACTCTGTCAGGTTTACTCTGTGTCTTACAGGAAGTGAGCACTGCCACATACTTGCTATATACTGCACAGCATTTGGGCACTGTCCCAGTGAAACCCTTTGGTGGCTAGAACTCACCATCATGGCCCGTACAGTTTTCGAAGTTGAGGAATGGCACTGGGGACTCTGAGGGACACCAGAGAAAGAAAATGAGCCAAAACATGCCTGTGTCAGGTCCTGGGAGGGCATGCAGGAGCTTGTGGCTCTACCAGCAACACCGCTCAGACAGAGCTCTCAGTACCGAGTCCTGTGCCTTTCAGCTTTACTCTCCCTTTAGCCCTCTGCAGACCAGCATTCTCTGTAGCCCACCAGTTTCAGGAAACTGGGAAACCTTGGCTTTTTTTCTGTCAATAAGTACTAGACTCAGGCATATTCACTTTAGAACCCTGGATTCTGCTACCTGACTCTAGTTCTAAGAGTTTTCCGCTCACAAAACTGTCACCGTCTCAGGGGCAGTACTATGTAATGGTTGAGATTGGTCAAAAAGTTCTCAAACCCTGTTTCCACACGTGTATAATGGGGTTGTAAAACAGTGCCTTTCTCATAGGTTTAGATTATATACGATCACCTTCTGAGACTGGTACTTCACAAATACAAGTCATTCTTCTTTCCTGCTACTACTGCTTGTGCTCTGCTCTTTTCAGGATACCTCCCCAGGCATCTCCTCAACTTTTTCTGCCGAGGCGAGATGAGCCAAGAGCTCAGAATGCCATTTCATTGTGGGACCAGCAGAGTTAGAGGCTTAAGTGAATGCAGAACACATTGCATCAGATGACTGCACTTTGCCCCAGAACATCAGATGCTAATGCAGAGGTCAAAGGGAACCCTAGAAACCCAACTAGCACCATTTCCAGCAGTCATTTAAGAAGTGCATAAAGATGAGACTTTTTCCTGAGTGTGAAGCCAGAGGATTTATGCATATAGAACAGAAACAAAAGTGCAATTTCCTGCTGAACCTGAAGGAGAAGAATGTTTTTAATCCCAAGATTAAGAATTCAACTTACTTAAAACTGTTTTCATGAAAAAATCAATTAGGTTAGTACCTCCTTGTTCTTTTCAATTTCTATTCTTATATCCTACTCATTAGTTCACAAGGCTTTTAGCAAATTAGGTGTATTCCTAAAGTTTTGGGTTCTTACTTCTTCAAATTAGATAGTCTTGATGTTAAAATTGTATTTGTTTTAAAACAACAATCATTATGCAATAGGCTACAACAACTCAGAGTTCTGGTGTGGCGCTGCAGATAATGCACTGGACACAAGGTCCAGTGGTTCAAAACCACGAGCCAGGTCTGAACTGCAGGGTCAGTGGTTCAAACCCACCAACCGCTCCTCAGAAACCCTATACAGGGTCGCTATGTGTCAGGATCGACTCTACGGCACTCAACAACAATATAGCAACTAAAATGAAAAAACAAAAACAAAAAACCACAGACAATGAAAGAGCACAAGACTGTAAACATACTTGGCTGCTTTTCCAAAAGTTCTTGAAATTTCTTCCTTTCATATTCAACTGACTGCTGCATGAGATGCGGCCTAATGCTACTGACCGCGAAGTTGGCCATGTCCACTTTCATCAGGTCTAACACAGTAAAGATGGCCCTGAAAGAAAAGATGAACAATTTAGAACTGAGCACCTGTTAAATAAGTGTAGTTTTAAAAGGAAAGACGTGAACCAATTTGAAAGAAGTTTTTCACTTCAGACAGGGTAGCCAAGAAAAGCTAGAAAAGTCATAAGAAAAGTATTAAGAAAAATTTAGAAATATATAAAAATTTAAGCAATATAGATGTTTGAAAAGTCTAAATTTTTAAGTCCCTTTCTATCCCCCTCCAGCTAACCCTCTATGTCCCCCCAAAACAAAGAGGTCCTCCCACTGCCTTTCTGGCCTAGGACTCTTTGCTTGGTTCTCAATGGGCCCTCATGGGAGCTCCAGAGGAAGGACAGAACCAAAGACCCAAGGTTAAAGGTACAGAGCTTATCACCACAAATAGTCTCTACATTCAAATAGGTTAATTCACTTTCCAAAGATAAAAAGAAAATCGACCTTCTCCTTTATCCTCTTCTCCTAGCCTAAGCTCTCTTTGTTTTTAGGTCAGTTTTATGCTCTGGTTCTGAATGTGCCCATTGGACAGATCTGACCTGGTGCCAAGGCTCCTTCAGTGCTGTCATACACCATAACCACTCTTGCCAATGTCAAGAGCTGCTGAGTGGCCTACTTGCAGGAGGTAGTTAAGAACTCCAGATGCAGGTTTAGGTGTGACCTACACAGAAGCAGGAACAGGATCAAACGTCCTCTGAAGTCCCAACGCCCTCTGGGACTGGCCGTATAATATGTCACAGATTAAACTCAACTACATATAATGTAATTATCTGTGAGAAATGATATACCGTCTGAGGAATAATTATATCCGTCTCTAAGTTCTGACCCCTCCCCTTGTCATTCAATCCATCTTCCCAGTGTGTGATGGCAGTGACGTCTCCTGAGGGGCACTTTGCTTTTCCTTGTTGTTATTAAGTGTTACAGAGTCTGTTTCAACCCATAGCAACCCTGTATAAGGTTTCTGAGGAGCAGCTGATGGGTTTGAACAGCTGACCTTGCAGTTCAACCTGACCTTGCGGTCCAGTGCATTACCCTGCAGCGCCACACCTGGACTCCTTGCCTTTCTTAGAGGGCTGTTGGTTATGTGCCATGGAGTCAGTTCTGACTCATAGAGACTCTGTACAGAGTTTCCGAGTTTGTAAATCTTTACGGGAGCAGAAGGCCTCATCTTTCTCCCACAGAACAGCTGATAGTTTCAAACTGCTGACTTTGAGGTTCACAGCCTGATTTGTAACCACTATGATACCAGAGGGCAGCAATCCTTACAAAAGCAGATTGCCAATCTGTCTCCTGTGGAGTGACTGGTGGCTTTGAACCACCATCCGTTCATTTAGCAGCCAAGCATTTAACCACTGTACCACCAGGGTGCCTTAGCTTTCATCACAATACAACAACAAAGATGTTTCTGTCAGTGAAGTCTATCAATGTCCATTTCCAGGCTGTGATATAATAGTTTTGCAAATGTTACTATTGGGGGAAACTGGACAAAGTATACAAGGAATCTCTCTGTAATATTTTTTATAACTACATGTGAATCTATAATCATCTCAATTAAAATTTTAACTAAAAATAATACAAGAAAAATGATTATTATCAACAATGATAATGTTGTTGTTAAGTGCTGTCGAGTTAGTTCCTACTCTTAGTGACCCCGTATAGGGTTTCCAAAGAGTGGCTGGTGGGTCTGAACAGCCATCCTTCCAGTTAGCAGTCCTGTGCTTATCATACAGTGATACACCAGGGCTCCAACAATGATAATACTGTCAGAAAAAAATCAAGCCTACAATACCAACTAGGGGTTTAGCTAGACATTTATACTCACAAGATTACCTAAGGCCATATTTGTCATCATCTACTCAAAGGGCTGTATTCTTTCACCATACTATTCAGTCTGTACACTGAGCAAATAATCCGAGAAGCTGGATTATATGAAGAAGAACATGGCATCAGAATTGGCCTGATGCATTAACAATTTGATATGCAAACGATACAACCTTACTTGTTGAAGCAAAGAGGACTTGAAATATTTACTGATGACGAGCAAAGACTATAGCCTTCATATGGATTGCACCTCAATGTAAAGAAAACAAAAATCCTCACAATTGGACCAACAAATAATATGATAAATGGAGAACACACTGATGTTGTCAAAGACTTCACTTTGCTTAGACCAACCATCAACACTCATGGAAGCAGCAGTTGAGATATCAAATGATGTATTGCATTAGCCAAATTTATTGCACAAGGCCTCTATAAAGTGTTCAAAGGCAAAGACATCAGTTTGAGAACCAAGGTGTGTCTGACCCAAACCATGGTATTTTCAACTGCCTCATATACATGTGAAAGTTGGACAATGACCAAGGAAAACCATAGAAGAATGTGAGTTACAGTGTTGAAGAAGAAAGTACCATGGGCTGCCAGAAGAACAAACAAACCTGCATTGGAAGTACAGCCAGAATGTTCCTTAGAAGTCAGGATGGTGAGACTTAGTCTCTCATGTTGTTGTTGTTGTTATGTGCTGTGGAGTTGGTTCTGACTCATAGCGACTCTGTACAGGGTTTCCGAGGCTATAAATCTTTATGGGAGCAGAAAGCCTCATCTTTCTCCCGTGGAACAGCTGGTACTTTCGAACTGCTGACCCTGAGGTTAGCAGCCCGATTCATACCAAAGCTACCAGAGCTCTTCAGACAAATTATCAGGAGGGTCCAGTCCCTGAAGAAGGACATTATGCTTGGTAAAGTGGAGGGTCAGAGAAAAAGAGGAAGACCCCTATCAAGATGAATTAGCACAGTGGCAGCAGGAATGGACTCAAACATAACAACTGTGAGGATGGCACAGGATGGAGAGTGCTTCCTTCTGTTATGCATAGTGTTGCTATGAGTCAGAACCAACTTGACACTTGACGGCACCTAACAACAACAATAATACGCAGAGGATAAAGAACAGAAACACAGCTTTTCAGTAGGGCAGTATCAGACATTCATTTTAAGTAAGATTCACATTCACACAGCACACAGCTCAAGAGCAAGGAGAGCCACATTAGGGGAGTGCAAGAGGCACTTAACTTGAAGTTTCATGTCCAACAGAAGCCAACGACAGGATCACTAAGAGGGACCCATACAGTTACAAGCATTACTGCACTCAGGAAGTCCAGAGCAAGTTGTCCCCATCAGGTGTTTATAGCTCATTACCGTTTCTTTCAGTTTACTAACTGGGGTCATTTTCCCCATAAGCAATGTTGCCTAAAGAGGTCCTGGCAGCATAGTGGTTAAGCATTTGGCTGCAACTAAAAGGATGGTAGGTAGTTCTAACCCACCAGCCACGCCTTGGGAGAAAGATGTGGCAGTCTGCTTCCACAAAGAGCACACACTTCAAACCCTATAGAGTAGCTCTACTCTGACCTCTAGGGTGCCGCTCAAAGGCAACAGTTTTGTGGGGATTGTTCAAAATATTGTCTAGTAGCATTTTTAACACAAAAATTTGCATCTGTCTACATAGAAACAGAGCTAAGCATTTAACCGGACTCCTGGTGTGAACACTGTAGGATAAGCAATGAACTGTGAACCACAAGGTATAAGTGGTTTAAACCCACCAGTCAGTCTTTGCAAACCCATACTGGGTCTCTATGAGTTGCAACCAAATCTATGACACTTAAAACAACAAGCAGTTAACCAAAAGAATTATTATCAGGTACTACCACGTAGCACTGTGGATTAATGCGACTATAAAGTCAGTCTGAACTGCAATGTTGGTGGTTCAAGCTCACCATCTGCTCCTTGGATATCCTATACAGGGTCGCTATGACTTAGAACCGACTCCACGGTACTTAACAACAACAACAGCTGTATTAGCATAAAAATGCTATTTAAGTTTCACCATAATCATATGTATTTTTAAATGGTTGGTAGCTGCTAACTGGAAAGTCAGAGGTTTGAACCTACCAACCACACTGGAAAGGAAAGACGTGACAGTGGTAGTCTGCTTCCAGTAGGAGGACAGCCTTGGAAACCCTACGAGGCAGTTCAACTCTGTCCTTTGGAGTCACTGTGAGTCAGAGTTGCCTTGCTGGCAATGAGTAACTATAATCAACACAACCCCTTACCTGAAAAGAGGCACTATTTCCTTAATGTCCTTCAGTTTCTTAACTTCCTCATCTCGAGCAGGTGCACAAAGTGTCCCCATCATGCCAATAATGAATTCTGCCAGCTTGGAAATGTCCAGGGCCCCGTTCTCGGCTTCCTGCTTGATCAGGTCCAGGTCCAAGACTTCTGTTATCTGGTTTCTCAGTCTAGTGTGACCAGGCAGCAAGAAAGATAAGAGCGTCTACAAGAGAACATAACTAAGTTTAATCAAAGTTTCTTAGTCAGACATCATTTTAAATTATACAGAAAGAATTTACAACTACCCAAATAAGGAATTAACAATTCCTACTGTAAATCACAAGGTCAGCAGTTTAAACTCACCAAATGCTTCTCAAAATCCTTGTGCAGAGTTGCTATGAGTCGGAACCAACTTAATGGCACTTAACAACAGTAACAACTGCAATGTTACACATATTTTAATCTCACATTCCTCGAGTCTATAGAAAAGCAGATGCTTACAAATTATTTAGAATAGCTATGTAAACTTCTTTCCATTAAACTCTAGAAAGCAATCAACTGTATACAAAAACAATAAATTGCCAAAGGTCAGACATACAAAACACATTCACTCATGTGAGCCTGTAAGCCAACCCTTCCCACGTATGCACTTCTTCCTGGGATTGTACTAACCCACTGCAAAAAGTCCACACTTCCACAAAAATGCTTCACTTCTGTCTCAGACAAAATAACAGGCTAGCTATTAGAAAGGGAATGTGTCCACACCTGTTTTTATGTATTACATTGGGCAAATCTGCTGCAAAAGAACTTTTAATAGTGTTAATGGGCAAAGATGTCACTTTGAGGACTAAAGTGAGACTGATACGAGTCATAATATTTTCAATTGCCTTATATGCATGTGAAAGTTGGACAAAGAATAATGAAGACCACAGAAAAATCGATACATTTGAATTTGATGTTGGCAAAGAATACTATCACAGTACCACTGACTGCCAGGATAACAACAAATCTGTCTTAGAAAAAAACAACCAGTATGCTCCTTAGATACCAAGATGGCCAAGACTTTGTCTCATGTACTTTGGACATGTTATCCAAAGGGACCAGTCCCTGTAGAAGGACATCATGCTTGGTAAAGTAGAGGGTCAGCAAAGGAGAGGAAGACCCTCAATACCATGGTCTGACACAGCGGCTGCAACAGTGTGCTCATACATAGCCATGACTGTGCCGAAGGCCCAGGACCAGGCAGTGCTTTGCTCTATTGGACACAGGAGCACTATGAGTCTGAACCGACTCATCGGCACCTAACAACAACAAATACCTGTTGTATGGTATTAAATAATTTATAAATCACTTAGATTTTATAAAACCACTTTCATTTTATTTAAATATTTCTGTTCTTAAAAGCATGGTGTTTTGGGTTTTTTTGTTTTTTTTCAATTGTAAGGGTAATGTCTCTAGGTTATCATGGCCTGCTTAAAATAAAATAAGGAAAAATAGTAAGATTCTAAAGGCACTGAGCCAAAAATACTTTGAAAACCACATTTTCACACGTAATTTAACATCTTGATTCTTCAATTTCCTTGAAGTCTTCTGGCACAGAGGGTTGAGTAAATACTCAACCACATCAGAATAACACCATGATTTGCTTTGATAAAGAAATGCTCTTGATGGCTTGCTGATCAGAATTCAACCAGACCAGATGAAGATAAAGAAGTGTGATATACAAGGAGCAAGCATTAATTGCTACAACCTGATCAACTGGACCCTTGATTATGCATAAGGCTGCTCAAAATGCCAACCAAATAGGGAAGGATACATTTAATATCAAGGATAAAGTGAGTCTCCTCAGTACAATGGGCTGATAGGGATGGGCAACTTGGACTTCAGTTACCAAAACTGGGGGGCTATAAAGGCACAAAGTGGCTGGCTTACAAGCTTTCATGAGGGAGCTTAGTATCAGAACGTGGGAAATAAGACAGAAACCCAACTGAATAATTTTCCTCCTGTCCATGTGGGTCTGGTAGAGAGGGATAAAACCTTATGATACAATTTTGAGTAACTTTTTAGCTCTAATGGCGATTGTCACAACTGTAAATGTAAAAGAGGGTCAGCTAAAAGGGGGAGCAGTTAGGAACAGGAACTTAGGAACAAGGGACCCTAGGACCATCAAGAGGGAAGAACATAAGAACGAGGGATCCTAACTATAAAAGTAGTGGCAATGGCATGGTGACTGAGGTGATGACATAGAGAGACAGAACAGCAGTGGACTATAGGCCCACGGACTGAGAAAAGCAGCATGCCTGTGCACAGGAGGTTGGCTTTCAAAATGTGCCCTTTGGACATTTAAACAAATATATATTTACAATGTGCTATGTGTACACCAAAAAAAAAGGTAATAGAGGTAAATACTGTTGATGGAGGATATTGTAATCATTACAGTGATTTGCTGAGTGTAAAAACGTCCTGTAAGGCTTTACTCACTCAATACACAATAAAAGCTTTTAAAACAAAGAAAGAAATGCTCTTTACCTCACCTCTTTAATCTCTCCTACCAGTTTGATGGCATGGTCATATGTGGGAGGGTCTTCACTGAGCTGGACACTCAAACAATCCCAAAAGGCTTTATGTACAATTTCTTTTACTCTCTTCTCCAAGCTGTGGGCACATGAAAAAAAAACCACAAAAAGGCAGTGGACAACGTCTTTGAATCTCAACTCACTATCAAAAGCGCAAATTCCCTGGTTTTAAGAGTACTATGTTAAAAATATTGTGGATCAAGATTTTTCATATATGCCTGCCAACAGTATACTTCATTTTTAGTTAGTGTTTTTTGTTTTTCCCTCAACCATTACCTCATTGAAAAGAATTACCTTTCAACTCATTTGACAGCAGTCATCAGTCCCATTAGCAGTTTAATGTGTCACAAGAAAAACAATACTGGAAAATTCATAATTGTTCTTCAGTCCCCTGATACCAGCAAGTTTCCTAAGATATTTATAATTAAGTAGGTACACAAGTTGAAGAACTTTATTTCCTACAAATATCCTACTTATGTGTGATATTTTAGATGAATCCTTAATCAGGTACCAAAGTACAACAGCTTATATATAACAGCTTATTAAAACAAACTTTTTGTAATGAGAACAAATTTTTCATTATTAATGTGAAAAATACTATGTTTATAGACATATGAGAAATGTCTGTAAAGTCTTATTTGGAAGCTTCCTCGTACTGTAGCTTGCCAACCCAGCAGCCATTCCTCCTTATTCTCTGCTAACAGAACCCTAATGTTTCTCAGGGCAGTGATAGCTCCTTTTCTCTCTTGCCTAGAATGCTGGTGGATGATGGGATGTTTGAAGCTACAGCAGTCATTTTGGAACCATGAGAAAAAGCACAAGTAAATCACAGATGTACTTTTAGCCAGAACCCTGTCAGCCCCCAGTGATGTACTGAGAGGACAACTATATCCATAGTTCACTGTTTCTAAAACAACTTTCCCCCTCCACATTTTAACACTTCGGAAACTTAAGACTTTCTTAAAATCCATGGCAGTAGTTTAACAATTACAACTGGCAGTGTTTCATTTTCCTTTATTATGACAATACATTTTATATTGATACATTTAAAGTCAACAGTTTTCGACTCAGTGGCATACGATCCGTGCAGACACTAAGCATAGCGTCTAGTGCACAGGCAGACATTACCTTCATGGGGCAACAGCTTGTGGTGTGGCAGTTAGAAAGAAAACATACAGAGTGATGCAAGAAAACACTAGAAGAGGCTAAAGCAAGAGGAACATGTCAAGAAAAAATTCCAGAGATTTATGGACCTTCTATTTGCATTTTGAAGGAGCAGTGGGCCTGAGATCTATCTTCATAACTGAATACTTCCTAGTACTATCTGGGAATATTTTTAAGTAACGATGTTCAAAATAAAAAAAAACATATTTGAATATAGTGCCATTAGCTGAAAGGAACACTTCTAGACTGGGAAATGATAAAGTTCTTATATTAAGCAAGACAACTCCAAGACCACTGTACCTGTCTTCGGGTAGTTCCACTGGCTTAATCCGAAAGTCTCCATTTACTACGATTTCATGGGCTAAAGCCATGTTAGTGACTCCTTTTGCTGTCTCCAAGAGCTCTTCTACAGTCACAAATCGAGGAGGACTGGCTGTAACAAAAAACAGTGTAAGACATTGGCTTTTCTGTTACAATTTCTATTAAAATAAAGAGAAGGGGGTGATTCTGATAGAGACACTAATTTCAGTTATGCCTCTGTTTATTAAACCATTCTGGCAATTTCATACAACAGCATTTATCTATTTTATGCTCATTTTTCCTTTTAACCCACAATCCTAAAAGCAGAAGCTTTTACAATACTCAAAACATCTGGTTTTTACTAAGGCTGGTCAATGGGACTGTTGTTAAGTACCCTTGAGGCAGTTCTGACTCATAATGACGCTGTATACGGTTTTGTGGGAACAGAAAACATCGTCTTTCTCCCAAGGAGTGGCTGGTGGCCTCGAACCAGGGACCCTGTGGTTCACAGTCCAGTGCTTTATCACATGGAGCCACCGTGTTTCTGTTCTGGTCAATGGAACTAGTCAATGAAAAATGACTCAGTAAACTGGGACATGACCATTTTTTTAAGTTGCAAACTATCATTTTCTCCAATGAGAGTTTATTTTCAATCCCTTTGTCTCCAGTTTACCCTAAAATTCAAAACAAAACAAAACAAAACAAAAAAACAGGCACTGGACTTAAGATCTTCTTTTCTATCTCTATCAGCAGTTTATATTTTGTACCATAACTAACACTTTTCTATAAATTAATTTTCCCAAATTAAGATACCAGAGTCTCTTTAGGTACCAGGTGCTGCATAAACAATGCTAGAACCACTTCCCTACACAGCCTACAAAGGAAAGATAGGAGAGTTTGAACCAGTGAACAGAGAAGAGAATGTGACTTGAATTTTGTAGAATGCAGCCCCATTGAATCAAAAGCTTCAGTTATCTTTTATTTCTCCCTTTCCACTGGTCAGCTATCCAACTCCTGTGCATTTTACTTCTATGTGCAACTGCTTCATAATTAGCCTCCATACTTTCCTCTTTTGATAAACTTGTATATGAAAAGTTCTCTCATGTAAATATCCCCTAAGTGTTGCTCATTCTGAAAAAGTCCATGATATTGGTTCTCAACTTTTTACCTCTAGGCGTTTTAAAACAAGAGTGCTGAGCCCCATTCTCAGGGATTCTGATTTGGCTAGTCTGGGGTAAGGCCCAAGAATCTGCATTTCTAACAAGTCTCCAACTGGTGTGGATGCTGTTGGTCCCAAGAACCATGTTTTGAGAAACACTGGTGTGTTACATGACATTACTAGTTATAAGTGATGATGGTAAGATCTGGGTATAAAATGAGATAAGTAATACCATGCTTTGGTTTGCACAGGGCTTAACAGTTGTAAAATAATTAGATCTTCTGATGTTAGTGAAAAGTAATTTTTCTTCTTTTGTCCTCAACAAAAACATAAGAACCAAAATCTAAGAGCTGGTCATATCCTGTCTGGTAAAAATCTTTATTTAGTTATAAAAGAGGAACCTGGGAAAATATATAATTTCTCTTCACAAAATTCTTCTCAACATTTCTAGAGAATATTAACACGATCCCAAAATAAATAAAACTTGCTTCATAAACATTGGCAAAAGATAATTTTAAAACCAAAGCACAGATTTATCTTTTCAATTCTCAATATTGTTAAAATGTCAATTTTCCAGATTGATTTTTAGATTAAACATAATCATAATCAATGTCCTAGCAGACTTAGTTTGTTCACAGACTGATTCTAAAATTTATATGGAAATGCAAAGGACCTAGAAAAGTTAAATACTTTTGAAAGAGAAAACAAAGCTCATGAATTTATACTAACTGATTTCAAAACTTAAGTAAAGCTACAATAACTGTGTTTTGGACATGAGGAAAGATCAATAAAACAAGTACATAATCCAAAATCTACCAAGACTGACCTTTGTTTATCACATGATAAACAAACATGAATTCAAAATGGATCGTAAATCTGAGTTTAAGATCTAAAACTATGACTTCCAGAAGAAACAGATGAAAATCTTGGTGACTTTGGGTTAGGCAAAGATTTCTTAGAAGGATATAAAAAACTCAAACTATAAAATAAAATGGTGATATACTAAACTTTATCCAAATTTAAAACCTTTGCTCTATAAAAGATTCTATCAAGAAAATGAAAAAGAAAAAAGAAAAGTCATATTGTAGTTGTTGAGTCAGTTCCAACTCAACAGAGACCCTGCATAGGGTTTCCAAGGAGTGGCTGGTGGGTTTGAACTTCCAACCTTGTGGTTAGCAGTCTAGTGCTTTTTCTATAATGCCACACCAGGACTCCAAAGTACAGGAGAAGATATGTACAAAATACTGATAAAGGGCTAATATGTACAATATATAAAGGACTCTCACAATCCAACAACAGCAGATTAACCACCCAATTAAGAAAAAAAAATGAGCAAAGATTCAACAGACATTTCTCCAAAAGATGATATGCAAATGTTTAATTACTGATACATGTCAAATCATGGATGAATCTCAAATGCATTCTCCCAAGTTGATGAAGCTAGACACAAAAGACCACATATGAGGGTATATAGTATAATTCCTCTATATGAATTTATAGGAAAGGCTAAACAATAGTGACTGAAAGTATGGAGACCAAAGGGTGAAGGAAGGGAAATGATCCACTGCCAAGGGGCACAAAGGAATTTTGGGGGTGATGGAAATGTTCCAGTTCATGATTGTGGTGGTAAGTCACATAACTGTAAATGTATTTATCAAAACTCATCAAATTTAGAGTTAACATGAATAGCGGTAAATACTATTAACTGATGGTACTTGATGGGTATTGCACTCATGGTAAGGAAGTATATGATTTGCTGAATATAAAACTGATGATCTGCTTTATAAACCTTCACTCAATTCACAATAAAAATTTAAAAACAAAACCAAAGGGGGGGGGGAACCTCATCAAATTGCACACTTAAAATTTATAAATTTTGTTACATATAAATTATATAGTAATAAAATTCATTTTACAAAAGTCTAAGGTACTCAGTAGAGGTTTAGTATATGCATATACTGATTATTCAGTTTCTTTAAGCTAGTATATTCTATTGCCATATATCAGAAAGCAGAACTTCCACTGTGGGTATACCAAGCATTGTGGTGGTGGTGGTGGTCATGTGCCATGGAGTCGGTTCCGACTGATAGTGACCCGGAATCGGGTTTCCAAGGCTATAAATCTTTACACGAGCAGAAAGCCTCATCTTTCTCCTGTGGAATGGCTTGTAGTTTTGAACAGCTGACCTTGAGGTTAGTAGTCCAACTTGTAACCACTACACTACCATAGCTCCTTATATCAAACACTAGAAGTTATTAAACTTCATCAAGTTCTTCATTCTTTAAAAAGCAATTTGGAGATTCTTACCAGAGTTTCCAAGTTTTGTTTTAATTTTGGCTTTGTAAAATATAATGTCATATCAACTCAGATTTATAAAAATAATAGAAATATACCTAGTTCTCTTAATAAATTTGCTATTTTTCAACAAAGGTAATTAAACATTGAGTAGTGACGAGTTGTCACTGCTTGTCTGTTGTCTAGTCATTAAACACAGTGGACAGAGCAAATCAGAGAGAAATATGGCTTCTTCTAGACTTTGTTAGGACTCCTGGTGTAACGCTGTAGACTAAGCACTGGACTGTGAATCACAAGGCCAGCAGTTCAAAGCAACCAGCTGCTCCTTAGAAACCCTATACAGGGTCACTAACAGCTGGAACCAGCTCAACAGCATATAACAACAAGAAGACTCACTTAAATCTCCCCAAGCCATTGTTTCTTCATATGTAAAAATAGGATAATAATACTGAAGAATGTTCTATGAAAGACCAATAAAAAATCAAGCCCACAGCCATTGAGATGATTTAGACTTAGAGTGACCATGCAGGGCAGAGCAGAACCGCCGCCCAGGGTTTCCAAGGCTACAGTCCTTACAGAAGCTGAATGCCACATCTTTCTTCTGCAGAGTAGCTGGTAGGTTCCAACCACTGACCTTTCAGAGAGGTGCTTAACCACTATGCCACCAAGAGACCTCTAAATCCTAGGCAAGTGTATTCTCAGTATGTGGGGCACACTTGAGTCAAAACAGCTTACACTAACTGCTGAGACCATCAGGTAACCAGACAGAAGAAAGGTTCAAGTTAGCGATTACATAAAATCAGACTTCTAACTAGAGGATAATTGATCAAAACATAAAAGCCACTGTTCCAAGAAATGATCAGGATATGTTATAGATATACATATTTAGTATACAATCATTCATTGCATACTAAATAAAGAATTATAGGGTGTTTAGTTTTGAGAGTTCTCAAATTTACCAATTTCCTAAGTGAGATCTTAAAGTGGTGCTATGGGTAAGCACTTGGCTATTAATCAAAAGGTTGGAGGTCTGAACCCAACCAGTAGCTCCACAGACAAAGACCCAGTCATCTGCTACTGTAGCGATTACAGTCTGGAAAACCCACGGGAAGCATAAAAAATCCCATAGGACAGTTCTACATGCAGTTATGAGCCCAAATCAGTAAGACAGCACCTAACAAAAATATAGTAATGCAAATGTCTCTAGGTGGCACAACTGGTAAACCTAAATGTTGATGGTTCAAATCCATCCAATGATGCCACAGAAGAGAAGGTTCAGGCGAACTACTTCTGTAAAGACTGCAGCCCAAACTCTGGAGTCAACTCAATAGCAACCAGCTACAAGAACCTAGTGAACAACATGGCAGACTTTACCTCAACTTTTGAAGAGAACCAGAGTTGTAATAAGAGCTATAAAAAATAGTAGAGTTACATATATTTTACTCTGGAGTTTATTTTACTATTCAATATAAAGGCAAAGCTGTTATTAAATTCTGTTACAGCATTTTTACACTGATGCCCTACTAGGGAAATTGAAAACCACATTAAGCTAAACATGCCCTTTGGGAGGAGGCTGGCAAACATATTTTCTTCATTTTAAAGAGGAGACAACAGAAGCTAAGCATATATATTGGAGACAAGGCCAAACATGTACAATATAAACTGTTATTAACAGTATGGTTTTACAGATTGACCTAGTAGTCTATTTATCAAAATCTGTGTGATAATAAAGCATGATAAAATGGGGTCCACAAATATCTGCTTGAAGAATGCTATGTTGGTTAATAAATTATCTGGGAAGGACTTTGATCATTTTAGAAGAAACATACCTCAAAACCCCAAAATGTTTGTACTTCTTCCAAACATGTAGAATTACCGATCATCTACACTTTTAAGAGATAAAATCAATACTGACATTCTTAGACTATGACACTCCCTTTTAAAACTTTCAATTTTGGACTAATTTCAAAAGGCTTAAATATCCTTAATAAAAGACATGAGTCGGGGCAACTTCTGGGAAGACTCATAGAAACTGCCACCCTTTCATCTAAGTAGGCTTGCTCCCTGCCAAGGCTCTGAGATGACTTCACCACACACATTCAGCAAATTGAATCCCCTCAGCCTCTCCGTGGGAACTGAGCCCTCCAGCAGTAAACTTAGGGTGTGGTAAACTCACTCATATTCATTTTTTTTTCCTTTTTCACCTGCACAAGCACAGTCCTGGCTGGAATTGGCCTCCAACTTTTCAAACATTCTTTTAATTAAAGCTCCAATTTGAACTCCACCCTCCAATTTCTCAGAGCACTTCAGATAAACGGGCATGTCACTGAAGGAGAAAGAAGGACAGGTACATTCTGGGCATTAATCTACATTTCAATTTCTCATGCAACTAAAACTCCACAAGTGACTGACTAGGTGGTCAGACAAGAAGCTCTTTCAAATGCTAGTTATTGTCAGTGTTATTGTGTTACTAGAACCTAGCTTAGGGACACAGGAACAAGAAATCCTAGTAAAAACATTATTTGAAAGCTATGATGATGTTTCTTCTAAACAAAGTCAACTTTGCTTACAGTGAGGTCTTTGCAATCTTTGGGGACTAGGAGAGCCCGAATTTATTCTTTTCTGTAAAGCTTCATCAGACCCATCCACAGCATCTTCAAGGCCTTGCTTGGAATCATCTGATTTTCCTGCTTCATTTATGTTAGACTTGTCAAGGTTTTCAGACATTCTCAATTAATTTTATTCACTTTCCTAGGAAAGAAAATAAATAAATGAACAAAAAGTGTTCCAGTTCTTTCATTAACTAGCAGTATAACCTAGAGCATACTATTTAATTCCAGTTTTCACATCTATAAAGTAACTGGCTTGCTAAGATTTTATCTAATTGTAATAGCTTACTATAATGATTAAGCAGGTGCTTGTAAAATGACACTTGAATTTATCAAATGTATGGATTTGTACAACAGATAGAGAGTAAGACAAATATTCTTGTCTCACTCCTGAGTCCCATGTCACAAGAACTTAGGGCCTTTCGCTGCTGGTAACATTGCAAACTGCCAGCTTCTACTGCAATCAGAGAAAGATTCAATCTTAAATTTTGTACTTTCCTTGGGAACTGGTAGGAAAACACTTTAGAAATAATGCCTTTAGTCAGGCATGTGAGTGAATACACCATGCTGAGGCGTGGCTTCCCTGAGTCTACCATGAGGATAAGATATCTAGATATGACAGGCATGACGTAGAACCTTATGATACGCTTAAGAGGAATGTGTCAGGCAGATGTTTTTATTACTTCCTTGTTAGTCAGCAAGAAAAGATGCTGAATAAAACAGGAAGTAGTAATCATAAGGTATGTGGTTGGATTTAAAAACTTTATTTAAAAATTTTTTGGGTAGCTGCTGATAACAGCTGCCCTCAAGTTAATTCTGATTCACTGATATCATATGTGTCAGAGTAGAATTTTGTTCCATAGGGTTTTTAATGGCTGATTTTTTTTCCCCCACAAGTAGATTGCCAGGTCTTTCATGCTAGGTGCCTCAGGGTGGACCTGAATCTACCTCCAACCTATCCATTAGTAGCCTAGAACATTAATCAGTTGTACCACCCAGAGACTCTAGTTGCTGATTAGAACAGGAATAACACTTGACACTTTGGTATGGGGCAGTTAACAATGGCACTGAAAAGTAGATTCTCTTACTTACTATAAAAACTGAACAGTTTTGTGTTTTTTTTTCCTCCTAGGTATCTCTACTCCTAGGGTGTTTCTAATTAAGGGGGAAGACACAATATTTTTGCATTTCTAATACTAAAAATAATTAGCATTTGTACTGTTATCACTTAAAGATCACAAAACATTTTCATAAATACTAATTAGGCTTTATTACATACCTGGAGGGTAATCACAGGATCAAAAGGAATGTCAACTGCACGAGAGAGGAAAAAAAATCACTTGACATAATTAGCTGAAATCACAGGCTCTCATCACATAGAATGAATTAAGTAGAACTGAAGTTTTCAGACCATGTTATTAATATGAAAGATGCTTTAATTTCCCCCATCTGGTCCCACTTTTAACAACAACCTTCCAACACCTTTTCCCAGCCACCCATCTCATCTCCTGTCCATCCTACATTCTATTAGCCTCTGAAAATGCTTCAGAATGCAAAGATAACATTACTAGCTAACTTTAAGGAAAAAAAAATAAACACCTCAAAACAGAAGCATTTCTAATTTTATCCCATTCACATAGTTAAGAATAAGCCCCTCAAAGATGATGTAACTTTATTCTATGCAGAAAAAGGCAAGGTGGGAATTTCCATGTCTCCAATTGTTGGTCCTGCTTGTAGGATAATCACTGCAACTCAAGGTCGGCGGTTCAAACCCACCAAGCAGTCATTCCTCGGAAAGCCTACACAGGGCTGCTATGAGTCGGAACCAACTCGACAGCACTTAACTACAACAACTGTCAGCTCAGTGCTCAAATCCCATCTTCTTCAAGACACGCCCCCCCCCATTTGTTCTTTTTTCTGAATTCCTGTAGAGCTGGTTACTAGACATTTGGTATTGATCACTGCCTTCAAATTCAATTCAAAATATGCTTATTCAAATAGGGATAGAAAGATGAAAAGACATTGTTGAGAGGGAAAAGCAAATATACATACAAGTAGCTCTGATATAACTTGGAGCCCTGGCGTGGCGCTGTGGGTTACTGGACTGCAAAGTCGGTTCAAGCTCACCAGTCGCTCCTCAGAAACCCTATACAGGGTTGCTATGGGTCGGAACGGACTCGATGGCACTTAACAAGAACAACAACATAGTATAACTTAAGCCTTAGTGGCATTATGAAATTACTAACAAAATGAAGCTGAAATAGAAACTAATTCTGCCTGGGAGGAGGTTGGAAAAAGTTTCTCTGAGAAAGTGCTATTTGGGCTGTTCCTTTAAGGAAGAAGATTTCGCCCAATTTAAACATGTGTGGGGAGAAGAGGAGCCAAAAAGAAAAGAGGGCATCCACTCAGAGAACATGAGCTCAAAGGCACACCAAAATGAGTAAAAGTAGAGTAAGTGGTAACCAAGTTGTAAAGATAGGTTGGAGGTCAATTCATAAAATTGTTAGTCTGTTGTTCTTCTATTATTTTAATTCACCTAGAGTTTCAATTTATTACAGGACAGCATCAACCATACCCTACATAATGTCCCGTAAATATAAGTATATGCCCCAAATTATTGTTAAATGCTGTCGAGTCGATTACAACTCATAGCGATCCTGTATAAGGTTCCAAGGAGCGGCTGGTGGGTCTGAGTTGCCGACCTTGTGGTTAACAGGCCAGCGCTGATGCTACAGCACACCAATAGATGCCTACTATTTGTTGACAGAGATGAATCCCCGTGTCATCTCTATGATGTCAGTGTATTTGGGAGGATGGGCGTTGGTCCCAAGTTTGGATCCTTGCTAGCTGTGTAACTTTAATTTCTCATCTGTAAAATGAGCTACCTACCTACTAGGTTTGGGGTGTGTGCATGAAGGAGCACAGAACAGGTACATAACGGGCGTTCTACAAATGATAACTAACGCGAGCCTTGCGTGACATCGTTTCACGGTTTAGAGCGTGCTCATTCATTCATCACCACCACCCTCTACTGTGCCTAAAAAGAGAACGGAGGGTAGAAGGATCCTCACACTTGCCTTGTAGATCATCTTCTACCTGAGTTGCACGCCGGGCCTTGTTGTGGTTGTTGCGGGACACAACAGACTCCCCTGAAAAGGGCCTTTCATAAAAGAATGTCTGCTCTGTCCACCGACGCCAGGAATCACTGCCTTTGGCACTCGCTGTCACTCATCCCAGCGTCGGATTCCGTTGTAAACAACAGTTTGGGCTGGTGAGGGTGTGGCAGGGCCGAGGGCGAGTGAGAACTGAAGCGGGGCGCGCCTAGCGGATGGCCCGGAGCGATGGGACAAAGGCTGCCCCGCGGTCCCTGCCTCTCCCTCTCCACCCGGCCCCGGCCGCGCGAGCCCAGTCGAGCGGCCAGATTCCCGCCTGCTTCTCTCACCTACCGCGGAGTTGGCGTTCTTCCTCCTGCAGCTCCCGCGGTGACTCAGGCGATGAACGGCGCCGCGATGGGGGCGGGGAGCGTTGCGCGCCGGGCAAGGGCGGTTCAGTCTCCGTCCCTCCGAGGCCTCATTGCTCGCCGCGCTGCCAGCGTCCACCCCTCCCAGCTCCGGTGGGCCAGAGCTAGAGCAGCCCGCTCCTCAACGTCTGGAAGAGGGAGGCTACTCCGAGCGAGATGCTGCCAGCCTCACGCAGGGCGGCGCCATCTTACTGTACGGAAAAGTGGGAGCTTCGGCCGGGTGCCTGTTGAGGTAACGCAAAAGGCTGCGAGACTCGAAGCCACCAGTAGTCGGTCCTTCACAGGGAGGCGCCATGTTTCCGTACTGAAAGGGAACGCAAACGGCCAGAATCCGCAACGATGAATCCATGAATCGTGTAGTGTCAAGTCTAAAGGTACTTTGGAGCCACAGCATTCAGAGCCATGCTCGCCAAGAGATTGTTACATTTAAGTATCATATTTTGTAGCTGCACTAGCTGCATACTTTATTCCTAGTCCCAGGTGATGGGTGTCGTGACTAGTAGCTGCTTCAATTAAACGCTTTTCTCAACCTGTCGCGGGATAGCCAACTAACTACACAAGTACTTTGTTATTGTGCCTAGTCTTAAAGTATAAAAACATCTTAAAACTTAGCATAAGTGATGTAAGCCTTCAACAAGATGGCGTGGAATTCATGCTATTAAGCACTATTGCTAAGTAGTTCATGTGTTGCCAATTATCCCTAAAGGAGTGAAGGCTCATGCAGAACTTATACATAGACCAAGAGGAAGTCATTAGACAGCAAGAGACTACTGTGTGATTTAAAATCAGAAAAGGCGTACATCAGGTTTGTATCTTTCACCATATTTACTCATTCTGTTTGCTGAGCAAATATGAGCTGGGCTGTATGAACAAGAACATGGTGTCTGTCAGGTTTGGTGGAAAGCTTATTAACTATCTGCAATATGCAAATGACACCATCTTGCTTACTGAACACGAAGAGGGCTTGAAGCACTTATTGGTGAAGATCAAAGCCTTCAATATGAATTATACCTCAACATAAAAAAAAAAAAAAAGTCCTCACAACTGGAACATCAAGAAAAATGGAAAAAACATTAAGTTGTCAAGGATTTCATTTTACTTGGATCCACAATCAATACACATGGGAACAGCAGCCAGGAAATAAAATGACACATTGCATTGGGCAAATCGGATGCAAAAGATCTCTTTAAAGTGTTAAAAAGCAAAGATGTCACTTTGAAGATGAAGGTGTGCCTGACCCACGCCATCATATTTTCAACTGCTGGCATGCAAAAGCTGGACAGTGAACAAGGAAGACAAAAGAGCAACTGATGTCTTAGAATCATGGTGTTAGTGAAGAATATTAAGTTTATTATGGACTGTCAGAATGAACAAATCTGTGTTGGAAGAACAGCCAGAATACTCCTTAAAAGCAAGAATGGTGAAACTTCTTCTCATGTACTTTGGACAAGATGTCAGGAAGCACCAGTCCCTGGAGGACATCATGCTTGGTAGAGGGTGATTGAAAAAGAAGACAACTCTCAATAAGATGGATTGACCCAGTGATCGCAACAGTGGACTCGGACATAGGAACAATTGTGAGAATGGTACAAATCTGGGCAGCGTTTTTCTTTATGAGACAA